GCCGAGAAGTTACGATTGCAGGTGTTTAACCATAATAACCATTCCATTATTTAAAAAAAGAGAAGAAAAAAAAACACACACAGTTAATGATTAACATTCTCACTCAAAAGAAAATATACGGCAATTAACGAACAATAATCATGACAGTTATATAATTGGTGAAAAGATTTATCACTATCAATCGAAGGATGACCTATATATTTTCGTGAAAAAGACTGAGGAGGCAGAGAGCGTAGGAATATGAAAACTTTTTATTTCCTTTTCTGGGGAAAAGTGATTTTCTTAAAATCTTTTTACGTTAATTTTGTTTTCTTTAACGTATTAAATATACATCATTATTCTTAACATTTGTTGTAATGTTGTATCTACTAATCATGAATGGAACTATTTTCTTCGGAGCAATTGTGTGAAGAGTACCTGACTTTAGTAATATATCTTGAATAGATAATATGCACTGATCGAATATATTAAAAAAATACAGAGATGTACGTAATAAACTCTCATCATCACAACAAACACCGCCTGAAAAATATATATTCTATAATTTGGGTTTAAGAAGCTACACTTTCTTTCCTACGTGTACCTGGTACATATGAATCTACACGTTGTGTACAACTTGTATAATTACGCGCTATGCAAAACCGATGACGTAAATCACAGTAAATTAGGGGATTTCCCTAGCTACACGTACACGTAGACGTACACGGTCATCTGCTTAACCTCTCTAATGTTTGCATGGGAGAAATTTTTCCAAATTTTGCAATGAGTAGAGTTTTGTTAAATTTATCTCAATGTCAGTCCAGTAATAAACAACAGACCAACACAATTTTGAATTTTTGAACTTCTGGGAAAAAAAAAGTTGTAATGTTGAAATCACAAAATTTTACCCTGTACAAAATGTCTTTTGTTTTCAGAACATGTACAGAGATTTTTTAAATTAGGTCAATTACACGGCAGTAATCATAGAAGATGGTGGTTTGTTGAACTCCCCCTTGCTAATGAATACCTTAACTTGAAGGTCAAAGGCCAAGGTTTATTACAGATGAATTTATAAGCAATATTTATAACATTACAAGATAATTTTGAGAGGTTAAGCATTTGACTGTGTACGTCTACGTGTACGTGTAAACCTAGAAGTGTTTTTACAAGTACGCGTAACTAACATCACGTTCTGTTTAACAAACTGTACGTGTACCGGTACGTGTAAAACGTCATTTCAACAAGTCAATTTACAATCCTTTTGTATCAAATAATTCTATGACTTTGATTAAAGGAGATACATAAATGTACATAATAAACTCTCAACATCACAACAAACACCGCCTGAAAAATATATATTCTATAATTTGAGTTTAAGAAGCTACACGTTCTTACCTCCGTGTACTTATGAATCTACATGTTGTGTACAACTTGTAGAATTACGCGGTATGCAAAACTGATGACGTAAATCGCAGTAAATTAGGGGATTTCCCTAGCTACACGTACACGTAGACGTACACGGTCATCTGCTTAACCTCTCTAACATCAGTGTTTTTGTATCATGATTTATCAGCTTTTTTAAGTGATATGCATGACAAGTGTTTGCATAATATTCAAAACATTCCATTATTTATGACAACATTATTCCAAAACGTCATAAAAAATGCTTGAATGTGATAGAGTGTAACTATTTTTATGTAGACTTTATTTTTATCTAAATATAAATCTCTCTATCTTTTTATACACTGTTGTTGTGAATCTGTTTGCAATTGGGAAATACCACAAGTTCATTTATATTTTTTTTCTACTTTGTGTAACTGCATGGTTTTGCCTAATAAATATTTTAAATTTCATCATTTCTTATTTTGGAATCCATAAAAATAAAGAAAACTGAATATTTCTTATGTACTTCAATGTAAAACTTTGATCCCTTATTGTGGCCCCACCCTACCCCCAGAGGCCATAATCTGAACAATTCAGAATCTAGTATACACTACCTTAGGAAGCTTCGATCACTTAAGTTCAATCTCTTCTGGCCCATTGGTTCTTGAGAAGATGTTTAAAGAATTTTTTCATAATTATGTATTTCAGTGTAAACCCCTAATGTGGCCTTGCCCTACCCTAGGGCCCATGATTTGAACAATGTAGAATTAACACTACCTCAGGAAGCTTTAATATGAGTTCAGTCTCTTGTGGCCAAGTGGTTTAGGAAAAGAAGAATTTTAAAGAATTTTTCCTATGTAACTCAATGTAAAAATTTGATCCCCTATTGTGGCCCCATCCTACCCCAGGGACTATGATCTGAACAATTTAAAATCTGCATTACATGTACCTTAGGAAGCTTCCACATAAGTTTCAGTTTTCTTGGGCCAGTGGTTCTAGAGAAGAAGATTATTTCAATATAAAACTTTGATTCCCTAGTGTGCCCCCACCCTATCCCCGGGGGCCATGATTTGAACAATTTAGATTCTACACTACCTTGGGAAGCTTCCACATAAGCTTCATCTGTTCTGGTCCAGTTGTTCTTGAGAAATTAATGACCCCACCCTATATTTGCTTTTTCTTGATTATCTCCTCTTGAAAGAGGCTTGGCCCTTCATTTTAATAATTTAGAATCCCCTTCACCCAGCGATGCTTTGTACCAACCTTGGTTAAAATTGGCCCCGTGATTCTTGAGAAGAAGTTGAAAATGTGAAAAGTTTACAGACAGATGGATGGATGTTGGATAACAGGTGATCAGAAAAGCTCACTTAAGCTTTCAGCTCAGGTGAGCTAAAAACTTGAACCTGCTCCAAAAACATTAACCTGGTCATTCTTTAGCTGAAATTGCAGCATCTGAAATCTTGACACCGACGGTATTATATTATCTGCCTAACCTTCGTTGAGGTGAGCTAAAATTGCAATAATTAAAATTACAATTGAAAATCTTATTTATTTATGGACATGAGGCAGCATCATAAACCTGTGGCGGTTAGGCAGGCTTGATCGCTGGTGTATATGATTTTTCTCCCTCGCCAGTAACATTTGGTGCCATGACCAGGATGTGACTGGTGAAAGACTTGCAAAGGACAAGCCTGGGTTGGTGTCTTCAGGCTCAAAGACCTTTAAGGAGGGAGGAATGTGGAGATTAGGCCAGTTTAATAGCCAGTGGCCAGATAGCTCAGTGTAGAACACCAAACTGGAGATGCGGGGGGCCTAGGTTCAAATCCTGATCTGTTCCATCACAGTTTTCTCCCTCACAAGTTACAAACCATTTAATACATTGATTATAACAAACACATAGCCTGGCCTCTTCCAAAATTTGAAATTCTTGGCCCTCAGGGTGGGGCTAAGTTGGTCATTTATTGAAAAATGTTTTGAAAATCTTTTTACTCATAGATGTGCATTAATTAGCCTGACTCATTTGGTGACCTGACCTGAACTCAGCCATTGGCCTGAGTCAGGCCAACTCATGGGTCATCCCGTGGTTTCTTACTGACACCAAAATGACCTCATAAGGGGTTATTAATTGTATACTGAAAAGTTTGACTCCCTTTTGAGAATAAGAATAATAAGGATAATTCAATAAAAATTTATCCAACCCTTTTTTCCACATCATTTTTCCTGTTGTTTTCAAGATTTTTCAAGACTATACCATGTTTACAGGGATAGACATTAACTTTCAGATTAACTTGCCCTTCGGGCAAGTGATCTCAAACTTTGACTTGTCCGAATGCAAAACTTGGTTGTCCAAAATAAGGAAAGAAGATAAAAAGAAAATTATTAATTACTGTAAACGTTATGGTAAGAAAAAATGTGACCAAGTACACTACTGTCAATTTGGCAAGTTGAGCTACCTGAAAAATGTCGATACATGCTGCATTTGTACATAAATGAATACCACTGTGCTTGTAAATTTAACCTGCTAACACACTCTGCCATGCAACAATAACCCTCAGTTTCCTTTTCATAAAATTCCTATTTTTTAAAATTATTTTCGGTAGGATCCTTTTGTGATTGTGCTTTGAGAGATAACTGTGAAGCAACGCTTAAGGAAGATAGTTGCTACAAAACATACATCTTATCTTGATCAGGATACATCGTGTTACACTGTACTTATATGCTATGCTTGAATAAATAAATTCCTAATAAGAAGTTAACAAAATTTTGTTAGACGTAGAGCGTATTTACTACAAAAGAAAATAATGAACCCGATTTTTAAAATGAGTGGTATAATCCAGAAACGCTACCAAGGAATTCCGAATGCAAAAACATTGTCAGTCAGGTCCGTGGCAGAAATCAAGTGTTCAATTTATTGTTTTATTTATAAATTAAGGTAAACTAAATAAATATGTATATTTGTATGAGAAAAATTCACTTGCCCGATCGGACAAGTAGTCAACAATTTCGCTTGCCCGAACTGAGAATTTACTTGTCCCGGGCAATCGGACAACCGTTAATGTCGATCCCTGGTTTACCATGTATACAGATGACCAATATGGGACAAATCTGGCCTCAAAAATTTAATCTGGATGCTGATTGATGAAGAGGGTATAACATATCATGAACATGTACATGTATAAGCCACCACAACTTTGTTCAGGCGAGCTATGATTATCTTATCTCTAGATCTTCATAAACAAATTTGGAACTACCTTAACAGTAAGATATCCGTACAGATTACAGTTAAACATGCTTATAACAAAGTGCCAATGAGAGATAAAGATTTTGCTTTGAATTCATTATTTCCTTTAACATGTTTAAGTTCACAATATATTTTAAAGCCATGGAGAATGAAAATTGCTGTAAGCATCAATTCATTTAAAGTATGTTCACATAAGCATATTTTACTGTATTCAATTTAGCCTGGTGGTTCTAGGAAGGTCGACATAAAGTCATTTAAGTTACATTGTATAAACAAACGAGACAGATTGATGGAAGCTGAGAATCTTCTACAATGAAAGCTCACCTGAGCCTTTGGTATAGAAAAATCAAAATTAATTTGAATTCTAAGTTACAAGGAATCCCAAAGATATCTGGGTATGAAAATAATTTAATTTGCATACATGAAATCTTTTAATCGTGTACATCAGTGTACACGACCATTATTTACATGATCATGTATTTATTACAAATGAGATTTTTTACGACCCCTTGAGTTTTTATGTTCATTAGATAAGTGAGTCTTTTCATGCACTTTTAAATTAGCAAGCTGATTAAATGCCTTGCCGCAGTCCTGGCACACATATGGTTTAACCCCCGTGTGAATCTGTTCATGCCTTTTCAAATGCGCACTTTGCAGAAATGTTTTGCCACATGTATCACATACATATGGGCGTTCGCCACTGTGTATTCTCTTGTGTGCCGTAAAGTATGTGCTGGAATTAAATTCCTTCCCACAGACTTCACAAAGATGCAGCTTGTTGCCAGTATGTGTAGACATATGCTCATCCAAATTACGCTTGCGTATAAATCTCATTCCACACTCTTGGCATTCATATGGCTTATCTCCTGTGTGTATCCTACTGTGTCTATTAAGTGAATCCCTTGCCCTAAATTTCTTCATGCACACTTCACATTGAAAGTTTTTTACTCCACTGTGAGTTAATTTATGAAGAGTTAATGATTGTTTTGAAGACAAAACTCTCTTACATATATCACAGTTATAAACTTTCAAACAGTTTGATTTCTGGTGCTGTTGTAGATGCAATTTGTTCGTAAAGGTCTTGCTACAATTCTCACAACTCCAAGGCCTGCTTACTGTGTGATTTAAAACATGCAGATTAAGACCCATTTCTCGAGTGAATCCTTTTCCACATATGTTACATTTAAATGGCTTGAAATCCTTGTGTTTTTTTAAATGATGATTGTGCTCAACCAGGCGAGAAAATGACTCTCCACAGACAAGGCACTTAAAAGGTTTGTCTTCAGAGTCCGCATGATGCCTTCGGAAATGAGTTCGCAGGGTTGAGGTTTTAACATACTCCTTTGGACAAAGATGACATTTGTGAAGGTTAGGATGTTTTTCACCGGTATGGACCCTCAAGTGATTCTTTAGACTGTAGGATAAACTGAATGTTTTGTCACAAAGTGAGCATATAAATGGCTTTTCTTTTTCTGGAATGAAGTCACTATCCTTGGAGTCTTCTGACTCGTCATCATTTCTGTATGGAGAACTACAGCGTGTATCAGTACTATAACTTTCTCTTGAATCTTCATTTTCAGACTCCATTTCACAAATCTGATCATCATCAACTTCAGAAGCCATATTGATATTTTCAAAGTATTCTTGAATTATATGTGTGCAGACTCACAGAATGACCTAGAAGTGGAGAAAATCCTTGCAATTCTGAAAAAAAAAAATCAAAAATCTTCTCAAATAACAATATATTGTTCTATCATGTTCTATAAAATTATGAGATTTTCACATGTACAACTGATACAATACATGTCTGACAGTCTAAAGTTGCAATGTTCTATACCAGGGTAGTTGGTTTTTTTAATTATTTATTTAAATCTTGGATGTTTACACCTGCAGATCTGTAGCTCACTGGTCTAAAAACTAGATTTACCGATACAGTCCAACAGGGCTCCACTGAGGACTGTCAATGTCATAGGAAAGTTGCAACTGTACTGGATTCAGTTATGTTTAAAATGAAATCTAGGACGTAAGGAAGAGTTTCTCTAAATATTTTTGATGGTCTGCTCCCATCCCTCAGGGAGGAGGGGCGGTGGACTATGACATTCACAGCATATTTCTCCCTATTGATGCTTCAGACCAAAATTGGTTCATCCAATTTAATTCTAGAGAAGACATTGAAAATGTTCAAAGTTTAAACGATGTTGCATATAAAGGGCAAAAAAATTTAACAGTCTTGTTTCCTGCTACCAGCCTGAAAAAAATAAGGTAGGTAGGTAGGAAAATTATATGAACTAATACAAGATCAAATTAAACATTTCACAGGTCTGTCAATACTGTCTTTAAAAATTAAATTTCATGTCTTTTGATGCAGAACTCAAGTGGTATTTTATAAAAGTCCATATTTAAAACAGAGAATTTCAAGAAATGCTTGTTTTGTATTATTACGGAAACCGATTATAGTGACAGAACAATGAAATTCTGGAAATTCCCGATTTTTTTCTTCCAAAACTAAAAAAAAACTCTAGCGTCAAGCAAAAAAGTAGGGTTGGTTAGGTAGCAGGAAACAAGAGTGAAGACTTTAATTTTTTTTGGCCTATGGCACATGGTGAGACTGGAACTCGAACAACAAATGTACCTTACCTGACTCTTTATGACCTTAGAAATCTTGAGCATAATCATACATAATTTTTCTACTTTTTTAATGAAATTAATTTTCCATATCATATCATTAAAAAAAAAAAAAAAACCTTCCAACAATATTGTTTGAAGCTATTATCATGATTATATTTCAATCTGTTCCTTTATGTGAAAGGCCAGGCATGGGTTAATTTATACATGGGAACTGAATGGTATTTTAAAGCACCTGCTGGATACTTCCCAAGAGGTCTCAGGTTCAAGTCCAGTCTAGCTGACTTTTTTTTCCCTGAATGCCTGTTATATTTTAGCTAAACAACAGGCACTTGTTTCACATACCGGGCACCCCCTACTTATTTTTACCACAAGGTACCTAACTCAATTTTAGGCACCCCCTGCTTCAAGCTCGTATTTTGTCAATATATTATATATCAATCATTAGCCTACTTTAAAATGAACGATGTCATTTTAAAGTAGCTAATGATTGATATACATGTATCAACAAAAATACAAGCTTGAAGCAGGGGATCCTGAAATTGAGTTAGGCCTAGTTGGGGTGTATTTGCAGCTATTTGATGTTATAAATTCAAGTCCTTGTAATATATCTTTACTTGATTGTTCGTATTCTCTGGGTTTCATGAGATGGTTCACCTAATTATAGCGACCGGGGAAATAAAGCTGATAGTATCAACTCATGCTGGAAGTAAATACCAAACACAAGTACTTCCTATGGGGCATTAAACAGTTAAAATACATTCATTATCAAAATTTAACATCTATCGTCTTCCTAGCGTACTGTGTTTTGTTTTTGTTTGAATTTCCATCCTTTTTCTTCACTCCAAAGTTTAACAAATAACGTTTTTTATGACTCTGCTTACCGTCATGCCATCATGATCACCAACAAACAACCAAACGACAGACTTTAAGAACCCCGAACCCGATGCGAAATAGATATTCGGAATTTCAGACATTTCACGCATATGGTTTCAATATTAGAAACGCTTTCGTAACTTTCGTTTTGCAAAATAAACAAAAATGGCATCCAAGTTAATAAAGACGTTATATTTCCTGATGATTTTTTTGGCCATGCATGCAGAATGTCAAAAATATAAACCAACATGGGAAAGCATTGATTCTCGCCCAATACCAGCTTGGTACGACGATGCGAAAATTGGAATGTTCATGAACTGGGGAGTTTACGCTGTTCCGTCGTGTACCAGTGAATGGTTTTGGTGGTTTTGGAAAGGACAGCCACAACCAAATGTGGTAGAGTTCATGAAGAAATTTTATCCACCAAATTGGACGTATGCAGACTTCGCAAAAGAATTCCGGGCTGAGTTCTATGATGCCAATAAGTGGAAAGAAATCATTGTTGCCTCTGGTGTAAAGTATGTCAATATATGTTTCAGGAAAACCATGAAATTTTTTGTCAATGAACGAAAAAGCCGATTGTACTTTGCAAAGTACATCTTGTAATTTATTGATATATTCACCTAGAGTACTGTTCGTTATAGTCCACTTTTGCAGCAGCAATTCTATAAGTCAACCTTTGTTTTCCTCTACTCTGTTATATGTACGTCATTTAGAGCTTCTTTACATTCATTTAGCTCTGTTTTCTTTCTTTAGTTGTGCAATACCCTGTGTTAGCTTCCGTTCATAGCGTTTTCATCGTAAAATTTGATCGTTCATCTTCTTTTCGAGATTGATTTCCAAAATAGATGCATTGGAGAGTATTTCCTCTACAGCTTTTTTGAAGTGTCTTTGATGTCTTCAACTTTGATAAATTTTTTGAGATCGTTTTTATTTCAGTTAATTGTGTTTGAATGGACACCATTTCCTCTGATACTCTTTCTGATTTTTCTTGTTTTTTTTCTTTTCTTGTTAAATTTGGTATTGTTGACCACCACGAGAACTGCAGGTGAAAGTCCTGCAAGGTGCTAAAGAACCTAGGTTGTGTGTTGTTGAGGGCAAAGACAGAGGGAGGAATTTAGTGGTTTGGACTATATGGACTGTGGATATGAGAGTGGGTATAACTCAGTGGTTAGAACACCTGACTAGTAATGCAGTTGTCATGAGTCTGATTCCCATTCCAGCCATAAATTTCGCCTTTCCTGTTACATGTACAATTATACATATATATAAGATACAGTCAAACCTTGTTATCTCAAATGCAATGGGACCGAGAAAAATTTTTGAGATATCCAAGTATTTGAGATATCAAGGGTTAAATACTTAAAGAATAAGTTGTAGAGACTCCAATTCACTTCGACATATCAGTGTTTGAGATACCGAAGTTCAACTGTATTTGTGTTGGAGGCAAATAAGTAAATGTTTTATCTTGGTTATCTTTCTGTCTGCATGTCATTGACCATCCATCTAACTTTCAAAATGCCATGTATATATTTATATATATTGATGAAACTTCGATTTTATTATTATAAAGACTATAGTGAATTATCACTAAAACCTTGTTGAATATCAAATGAAGCTTGCGGATAGTAATCTAAATAATGAATAACATAGAGTAAACCAAGTTAAGAAAAATTATTAATGTTCCTCTTTATAAAAGAAATATCCTAACATGCTAAAGTTTTCATAATTCTATAGATTGTGCTTAATATGACATATATATTTAATGTTTATAGATATGTGGTTCTGGCTTCCAAACATAGTGATGGGTTTAGCATGTACCCAACCAATGTGACATACCAGTGGAATTCACGAGATGTTGGCCCAAAACAAGACCTTGTAGGTGAGAATTTAGACTGTTATATATGCATACTAGTTACATGTAGTATTGATGCTTAACCCATTTCCTGCATTTATTTTTACTAGTAAGACATGCTAGAGAAGACTTAATATAATGAATTCGAAGATAGGGTCAAATTCTTAAAGTTTTCATTTTGAAAATAAAATGTCATGCATTTCCTACAGTGTATATATAATTATATGTTAATCCATTAATCTTAGTTGTACATGTACATGTACTTGCGTGTGTGCTTATTACCAGTAATAGATTACTGTAACAGTATGTGTAGTACATGTACATGTATATGTACCATACTTATTTTAGCAAATACAAAAACTAACACATAGATCAAAGATTATTTAGCTCAATCATGAAATATTGTTCAGTGTTTCTATGTAATATGTTAGTGAATTCACTTAAAAAATTTTTTTATCAGTGCTTATGTTTACTATACATTAATTAGGAAGACACAAGAAGTGCCAAAATATGCAGCCCTCCAAAATAAAGTTGCACATTTTAATACAGTATTTTTCACACTTTCTAAAGGAAAACTACATATTTTTTACCTCTTGGCTAATGGCAATAGCTTGAAAGCTCACATACATTGTAAGTCAAGGCAGAATTATTACATCAATCATATGTGAGTGATATATCCTGTTTTTTCAAAGGTCCTTTAAAGGATGCACTTAGAGGAACAGGGATCAAGTTTGGGCTGTATCATGCAATGATAGAGTGGTTCAATCCTATATGGCTGGCAGATCAAAGGAATAATTTAACCACTCAAAGATATGTCAATGTAAGTAACAGAAAATTTCATGTTTAGTAGATATATATATGCAAAAGTTTCTTTCATTTTCAATTTTTCATGTACATTCAGTTGTTTCGATGTGGTTTAGATTATATACCCTATACAGGGTTATTAGTCCCCTACCGGTGAAACCGGAGGGGACTATAGGTTTCCTCTGAGTCTGTCCGTCCGTCTGTCCGTCCGTCTGTCTGTCTGTCTGTCTGTCCGTCTGTCTGTCTGTCTGTCCCTCTGTCTGTCTGTCAGTCTGTCCCACTTGGTTTTCCGCACTTTTTTCCTAAACGCTTGCAGATATTGAGCTGATTTTTGGTATGTGAGTGTATCTTGATGAGTTACAGATCAAGTTTGCATTTCGTTCCGCTTCATTGATTTTTGACGGAATTACGGCCTTTTCAATTTTTATGGGTTTTCCGCAATTTTCTTCTAAACGCTTGTAGATATTGAGCTGATTTTTGGTATGTGGCTTTACCTTGATTAATTATAGATCAAGTTTGCATTTCGTCCCGCTTCATTAATTTTTGACGGAATTATGGCATTTTCAATTCTTAACGGGAACGGAACCAGATTACACTTGCCGGTAGGGGACTAGTATTGCTAATGCAATACTCTCAGAATGCTTGTTAATATTAAATCCTATGTTATTTTGGCCCCACACCTACAAACAATTTTTTCCACATTTTAAATTTGCCCAGATACAGTTGTGTTGAAAAGGGAGATAACTCTGTATATTCTTAATTTGCCCCATATTGAATTTGCCCACTGACGACAAAAGCAAAAGGAGCAAAAATAAAAAAGGAGAAATAATTTCCTTGTATACAGTAGCACACTTGTATGATGTACTTGTTTATTAATTTTATTTACATGTAATTATTTCATATAAAAGGATTACATCCATCCTCAACTTTACGAGATCATCAACACCTACAAGCCGGATATTCTGTGGAATGATGCTGGTTGGCTGGCTCCAAGTTGGTACTGGAACTCTACAATATTTCTGGCCTGGTTGTACAACGAAAGGTATGAAATTTTTGTACAAAAGCTCTCATTATCTTGAACCTGATGGGAACAAGAAAAACTTAGAAATACCTGAGCTTTCGAGATTTTGAGCTTAAAGTTCATAAAGAAAAAATGGTTGGGACATCCAGCTCACTTTGACATATTCATGGTATCCGAGATATCAATGTTCAGTTGTACATTTCAGTTCACAGCTTGTGCAATATTTTAATTAGTTATTTGATAAAACAGATATCAATTTTTTTTTAATCCAATCTTGTTTGCTACATAACAAGGAAAAATGATGTTGAAAATCTCATGAATGTTATTGTTTTAATTTTTTGCTTTTACAATTTAGTCCTGTCAAAGACTACATCATTGTGAATGATCGATGGGGGTCTGACTGCTTCTGCAAACACGGGGGAGTTTGGACATGTTCAGATCGCTTTCATCCTGGTATTGTTTCAGCATTAAATGTTAAGATACTGTATATAAATCTTGTACGTAGATTCAGCATTTTCTTGAAAGTTTTCTTTGTGGACCATTATCTGATTTCTTTAATTTATAAATTTACTGAAGATGATCCTGGTGGTACACTATACCATAAATATTCAAAAATTTACATTTACAATATCACAAATAAAAATTTCCTGAATCGTCTTCTTTTATTTAAATTTTTGTTGCGATGCATAGCAGAGCAAATAATGATGGGGATTATCCATGGCTCTTTCTGAAGTTTTGCTTTGAAATTTGATAGGAATTATGTCTTCTCTGAACCCAAAAGGGGAGAGTAATTTAAAAAATAAAACTGTGTGAAGCTATGCTTGCACAAGGGATAAGTGTAGCCCCTATGTTTTCCTATTCTCTTAATGTTCACATTTTCAAAATCTCATTCTTGCCCTAAAGTAGACAATTCAAGGCAATGATGTAATTTTAGGTCATGTGATGCCGCATAAATGGGTGAATGCCATGACAGTAGACAGAGGTTCATGGGGATTCAGAAGAAATGCTGACCTGAGTCAGTATTACTCCATAGAGGAACTCTTGGAGGAAGTGATTTACACCATAAGGTAAAGTTATATTTTCAACCTTTTACTGAAGCCCCCTTGAGAAATACTGTTAAGATAAGTGCATTATAGGACAAAGTGGAGAACCTGCATAGCAATCGGCACAACTTTGTATAGTAAAACAGACATATAGTGAAGTTCTGAGGACTAACAATTTTGATTCATTTTAAATGTAATTGTTCAATAAGTCCATAATGCCCAATCAGATTTTTGTATTTAACATGAAAGTATAATTATGAAACAAAATCTTTATACACTGTATGAATGAACAGAGAGATGGTGAACCTCAAATGTACAAGTATCTCAGGATATTGAAAAGGATGAAGATCTATTTTAGTTCTTTGTTACAAAATGTGTATAGTATTTCGTTACAGTCATGCACAGTAAAACACTTGTATTGCAACACATTTATAATGAATACACGCTTACAGCTATGTGATTTTCATTCCCTGTGGCTTTAAAATATATTGTGTACTTGACAGATATAACAATTTAAGTTTATAATGAAGCAAAATTGTCTGTCCCTGGCACTTCAATATAAACATGTTTTACTGTACATGTGTATTTAGGAAGTGGTGTGATTGTGTAAAACATCATTCTTTAATTAGATCCAAACAGAATTGAGTTTTATGAATGTAAAAGACTTTATACTTTTATTTTCAGTTTTGGTGGAAACATTCTTATTAATGCTGGACCAACAGCTTGGGGGACCTTTGCCCCAATCTATGAGGAGAGATTCCGTCAGCTGGGATCATGGTTGAAAGTGAATGGAGAAGCTATTTATAAAACAACACCTTGGATTCACCAGAACGACACAGAAACAGACAGAGCATGGTAGGTCCTTTTTGGAGGTCTGGAGATATAATTTCTGTTTTGAGTTGTGTTCTTTTTTCATGCTTTCAGTTTACATGAACAAGTGCACAGACATATGATATTTATGAAGTGAAATGAATTCACACTTGGAATTATATGAAATGATTCCTGCCCTTTTTTGAAAATATACTTGTACACTAGAATGAATATAAATTTGGTCTGAAGGGAATTTGCTAAACTCGGGGTATGGTGTAACATAACCACTAGATTTATGACTCATTACTTGTGAGATTACTCAGAATTAAGATATACTGATAAAAACTTTTAAAATTGTGGTTGATTTGACAAACCCTGTAATCCAATTTTTTTCCATTTTATGGTTCTGACCTATATTAGATTGACCACATGCCTCCGACCTAAATTTTATTGACCACATGCTTCTAATCCATATTCAGTTGACCACATGCTTCTGACCTATATTTGAATGATCAGATGCTTCTGACCTATATGTGATTGACCACATGCTTTTGTCAGACCTATATGCATCTAGCTCTGACTGATATGGAATAGGCACTTAGGAGAAGTGACCCTCTGCAAATACATAAATCACTATGTGCCCTTCATAAAACTTTTATCTTTAATGATAATTTGTCTGTAATTTTGCCCTGTAAAAAGTACATAATTTTCTTGCCACGTATATTTTGTTCATTTCCTTTCAGAAAAATGTCATAATATCAGAAAAAAATACATTTAAGGTAACCAAGGGCCATTCTTCCTTTAGCTTATTGACGTACCATGATATATTTTGAGTTTCACTGGAACTTGTGTTTATATTTTGACTAGGTCAAAACATATTGTAAAACACAATCATTATATGTATTCTAATTTTGTTTGAAGGTACACAGCATCAAAGGCAGACAAGAGAGTGATTTACTCTTTGTTGTTGGATTGGCCGTTAAGTAATGAAGTCTTACTGGGGTCACTGAAGGATATTCCTGTCTCTGCAGTATCTCTGCTAGGGTCAGATGCGGTGATGTACTTTTTTCAGGAGGCTCATGGACTTCGAGTTTTATTCCCAGTCCTCAATATACGTAAAATGCCTTGTCAGTGGGCCTGGGCTTTGAAAATAACTCTCAAATAGAGAACTATATAGCTGTGAATGATACACTGTATAATGGGTAATTTCTGTAGCCTGACATTGTTTAACTGTGATTCCTCCAAGGTAACATTCAGTTTCTTTTAAAATCCAGTCATTGAGGTATATTGATTAGTATGCACAAAAGATTTGAATATTTTGCTACTTTATATTTTGACAAAACCAAAAATTGAAAACAGCAGAAATAACCCATTTTATGGTGTATTGTAAAGTAAAGACATGTTCAATATATACATATATACATTATTTTTGTAAGCTCAATACATTCCCTTAGCATAATCTTAATACATGTACATTTTAAGCATGGAAAGAAAAGTTTAATTCAAGTGAAGCTATTTGGATGTTTATAATTTTCATGTGTGAAGTTGAAAGACATTGAAGTTGTGACAATTCTACTATGAATTCCACTATATGTGATAAAGAGAGTATTAATTTTTGATTTAATTTTTTTGGTACTTAATATGCAATTGTCATTACTCATTAGTAAATTAGTGATGAAACATCCTGATTTATTATGTGCTGCATGTGCATATAAAAATGCTTTGATTATTAGATTTCATTTCATTAATTTGCAGAGTGTTTTGGTTTTTTGTACTACAGTTGAACTTTGGTATCTCGAACACTGATATCTCGAATACCATGGAATGTCAAAGTGATTTGGAAGTCCCAACCCTATATTCTTTAAGTATTTTACGCTGGATATCTTGAATTCTTGGTCCCATTGAGTTTGAGATAATGAGGTTTGACTGTATATTTAGATCGTTTCTGAAAGCAGCTAATTCAGCCACTATGAATGTGTTGTTGTTTTATAAGGATATTTAATATTTCATTCACATTTAGGTCTTGGAGAATTTACACAGTCATGATATAGATCTTTCTCCAGTATTTTAGTCATTATATGAACCAACAGGTACATGTCTTACCCTTGTTTGGTAATGACCATAAACAAGCTTATGAGAGACTGCACCAGTCAGTTTAGAAATCCAGTGCTAAATTTTAGTGCACATAAAAATGATTGAAGCAGTGAAGTGTCTTTGTTGGGGTACTAGTGATAAATGTGCAATATAATTAGACTAGCTTAATTTGCTATAAGGGAATGAATATGCATTTAAATATTTTTTTTTTCTTTAAATACTTTGCATAATTTAAACACATAGCTCAGTGTTGTAGAAAAATTAAAGAGAGACAGGAAGCGTAGAGTTAAGAAACAGAAAGATAATGTTTTTACTTTTAGCTAAGATTAGAGCAAGTCTACAATACAGTCTGACTACGCAGCTTTACATGTTAACTTTGTACAATGTATTTACAGCAACAGTTTGGCAGTTTAATTTTCTGTCATAGCATATTTTATATTAATTTCACAATTATACTGGATTTATTTAGTCCTTTACTTTTGGAGGGTTTTTTTTTTCAATGTTATCTTGATTTAAATAGTTTTCAAAGTTAAAAACATTCCAAGATAACTGTATTGTGCATATATTTTTTTCTATTTTGAATTAAATTGAGATTTTGATATAAAATTACATGTGTAACTAGAGAATATTGCAAAAATTATATTCTGACTGTATGTTTTCATTGAAATGAATTCTTTTTTAAATACTATTTATCTACACAATTGATTTATCCTTTAAAGAATATGCATGTATGTGTATTTACTGGTTATATATTGTATTATATGTATTCATCTTTCCATACACATATCTGAAGAAAAAAAAACAGAACGAAATCCATATGTTCTTGTTGTGTAACACTGTATACATGTAATTATTTATCATTATTATTATTACTTATTTTTTGAATTTTTACTTAATAAATTTTTTGATACAATTGCTTTTTGTTTAATTAAGAGCTGAAAGAATTCTTCAGAATTCTTTTGTAACCTCAAAGGCATAGGTCTACCTTTTCTTTTTTAAACGAGAAAAATATGTAACCTCATGCAAGTGGCTATGAGTATTAATGTCCTTCATGAATAGGTGTAAAAACTTTATAATTATATATATAAATCATGATTTAAGGATATCTGCTCCTCAGCCAGGAAGGATCACTCTTAAAATTATTATTTAATTGAAAAAGTCTCAACATGCAGCTTGAAATTGAAAACTTTTTGTGCAACAATTTTCATTTTATGCATCTTAATATGATTCAAGGTTCTTTAAAGTCTTAGAAAGGGTCTTGTAAAAATTTAGTTGACATTTATACCCTATAAAAGTCCGAAATAAATGCAGGCCCCAAGACAATAAATTGAGAACAGACCTAAGTAAAAATTCAGATTTTGAATATCTTGGTTTTAATTCAAAAAACATGCTTTAAAAGTTGCAATTTTGTCAAATATTTAAAGACACTCAGTGAAAACTTGGTATAATTTTCTTGATCATTTCAAAAGTTATACAGAATTAAAATTCTGACTTAAGACTGTTCTCAGTTAATGGTTTTGGGACCATTTTTAGAAAAATAGGATTTTCTTGAATCAAGTTTTAGATACCAATACTTCTTACTAATAGCATGATATGAAATTAGAAGTGACCTGTGATGTCTTACAATGATAGCACAAGCTTTTTACTATACGTACTACAGTGTTTATAATAATTGAAGGAAATAGAAGGCCTAGAATACAGAATAAGTATAAAAATCATGCAAATTTCTCAGAATGCCTGGATACATATTTAACCTAAAATATATTTGTTGATCAATTCTCAAGTAGAAAATGCATAGTTGATGTTTCTATTCGCCATTCCTGAATACCGGTATATATTGGAGATTTGATAATATTTCCCCATATAATATGATTAACTATAATGATGAACTTTGAAGAAATACTGTGGGTAAATAAACAATATTTTGTAAATTCAGGAACCTGAGGATCGGACTACCTTAACAATTCAAACATGGATCCTAATTGTAAATTTTAAGACTTGAAGGGAGGAACGTGTACCACAATAGTCTTTACCACAAAAGGCTTTTCTTCAGTAACATACCTGACAGTACAGTAAACCTTGAGCGTATATAAATGTTTATTTTATTGTGCTTTACCCTGCAATTAAGATAAACTGTTGATTCAGGTTGAGTGACCGATGGATGTTAAGTTTACAATGCTACATACAATGTAATTCGGGGTACTGAGTATTTCCCAAGTTTTACACATTGAATTACAAGAATGGGACAAATGACCTTAATATTTATTTGTTTGTAGTATTATTTTTTTTTAATTAAATTAAGAAAAGTACATAACTTAAGTATTTTAACGATCTTTTCAACAGTGTTATGAATCATAAATAAAGATAAGCTAAAACTTTAATTGACCTTCAAAAGTTACAATTCACATGCAAGACTTAAAATATACCAAAAAAAGAAAATCCGTATTTAACTTAAAACAATCAAAGTACTGAAAGTACTGAAACCGGGCTTTAATATGTTTGAGTGTATTGTCTAATCCTAAATTAGTACATATTTGAAAATCTTTCTTTCTGACCATTGATATTTAACAAATAGAGTTTGTATGATTATGATTAACAATAACCCATCTACCAATAATTAAAATTTACGGTCCAGAACCCAACGTTAAGACCCCAGGATAGGACTTGGTGATATTTTTAATGAAAATACATTTATACCTTTCTAAACATTAAGCTCACAATGGTTATGCATGGTAACAGTGCACTTTGAGTGGTTTTGCTGATTCATACAGGCACATATATAGTATTGGAGGAGCTAGGGGTGTCACCATTTTTCAAACATAAACTTTTACAATGGACAATGTACATTGAAAGGTTGATTGACTCTTCGCAATCAAATTTAAATTAGAACTTTCAACTCACTCTTCGTAATATAAACCAGGTTTTTATCACGAGCGACGAACAGATTTACTAAAAGCAAAATGGATAGTCTAATTTTAATTAGATTGTACCCATCATTTTATTGTAGCATATTAAAAGTACGGTAATTTGGTAATGAATTAATGAAATTCGAAATGTGAAAGTAAGTTGTAGCTCACCCCTATTCCTTCTCCAACGGAATAGGATTTTCGGGTTTGGACAATTCTCCTTTTTTCTGATAATGATACTACATGCCTGTATTAATCAGAAAAGAAATATTCTTTATTCCTGGTCCTCTAGGAAACCAGCTGCACGAAAATTATAATTATCTAATCTTTATGACATGATAATGAGTCTAGTTCTAGTTCCAGGTTCGGCCATAATGGTCATTGCCTGAGAAAATCATGATGTATTCAGGTCTTTATGGCTCGTACATACATGGCTCTTCATTCTGAACAGGAAGTTTTGAAGCAAAGACTAACCAACTTTTTCTGAAAAATTATAATGTGTTGTACTTAGATAAAGACTTATGAACATTTTTATATGTTGTTTTCTTTTAATTATATATTAACATAAACGATTTTTATTTCCCAGCACCCTTGAGAGCTTGCATGTGTTTTAAGACCTTTTTTTTTTTTTTTGGAATGCGCGCGCACGCTCAATATACTGTAAAGCGCTTTGGGAGCACATGCGAGATGAATCCAAGGTGAGAAGTCTCGAACAAAATTTTCACATTCAAAACATACCATTGACTTTTCACCAAAAATTTGATCTGAATTTGTAATTTGTCCCGTGTCGCAATAGGTGCTTGCACGAAAAAGATCCCTCACTGCTCAATGGCCGTAAGTGCCGAGTATAGGACAAAATTTGGAGCTCTCCACCGGCAAGTGGTAGTGTCTCCATATGAGTGAAAAAATTCTCGAGAGGGACGTTAAACAACATTCAAACAAACAAAACACAAGATCTTAACCATCATAAGGATTTTTGTTCGAAATTATTTATTAGAAAGGAGAAAGTTATCTTAATTGCATTCAGGGTTATCGAAGTAATACCGTATTTTCAAACCCTTTTCTTTAAACGCATTCAAATTTTAACTTTTCTATTTGAGTAGTAATATATTGAAAACATTACAGCATTACCAGTATTACAACTGTAAGATTAATCTTCATGAATATTTACATACATACATCATTAGGCTAAAAAAAATTTGTTTGTTTCCGGTTATATACCCAACTGACCTCCTACACATTTTTATTTTTTTTTTTTTAATTCTACCAATAACATATGGCTAGTGAGGAGAATATATAAGTCATTTGTTTTATTTAATGTCACTATTTTAAACATTTAAGGTCACTAATTTTAACATTTAAGAAAACAATTAATTTTTTACAAAAAATGTTTGTCTGTCAATTGCCAAACTTTTTTTTAAAAAGAATGTTGAACCATATGGTTTGCTGATTTTTCTTTAGATATATTTGAATTAGAATTTTTTTTTTTTTTAAAATTATATTCATATTGGTTTAATAATTTACGTAATTCATAGTTAAAGAAATGCACATATTTTTAGAGATATTCTTAAAGTTTCAAACAAACAGTACTTTTACTAGATACACCAGATACACCATGTACAATTGTCAGGCGACCTAATTCAGGCATAACGCACATTAATTAATTTTTTAAACTCCAATTTACTTATCTATTTATTTGCTGAAAGACAAAACAGAGAATATAACCACTCACATAACATCGACGAAAACAATATGAAATATACCTGTCTCTGAACATGTGCTATTTATAGTAAGGCAGTCGATCACGATGCCTACAGCCAGGACTTTGCTTTCAGCAAAGCCCGGCTAAAAATTAACCTTCTTAATGTAAATCCTTCGAACTACAATCTGCTCAAAGACATATTTTTATGATTATTTTTTCCTCCAGGGAGAATATCTAAAGTCTAGAAACAGACGATCCTTTTTTATCCGTTACTTGCATAGGCGTCGTAACCGGGGACGCTAGGAGTGGGGGTGAGGTTCGCTAAGTAGCCCCCCCCCCCACCTCACTGTTTTTGCAAATATAGATATAATATAGGCATTGATCACTGGAGCGTAGGTTTAACCCCCCAACCCCACCCACCCCCACTTTCAACAGGCAACATTGCAGTGTAATCATAGAAGGGTGAGTGGTAGCGTTTGAAAAAAAATGGTACTGAAAGAAGTTCGATCCCCCCCCCCCCCCCCAATAGGATTTTCGGGTTTGGACAATTTTCAATCCCACCTTTTTTTTTTTTTTTGACTTGACAAGTTTTTTTCAGGTTTGAATTTTATTTTCTCTTTTAATTAGGCCCCCCTTTTCCATTTGCTTCTGACGCCTATAATATGACTTGGATGTAGGTAAGGACACCAGGTATCGGCAACATATTCCCTCAACACTTTTCTACACATATAATTAACGTACCCTAGACGAAAACGGGACTTGACAATTTATATAAATAATCTGCATATATTTAAGAGATAGCGAATGCATGCATGTATTTGGCCAGCAATTATTTATCGTCACCTGGTCATAAGTTCATGTACTCGAGATTAAAATGGGATTATAGTAATATATTTGTACACACTGTTTATAAACGTTTATCACATGACAAATTTGTATAACACTGTTCAGGATGTCTGCTCTAACAAACGTGATTATTTTTGTCTTTTTGTCAATTCTTTCTTTAGCAAACTGTCAAAAGTACCAACCTACCTGGGAGAGTATCGATTCCAGACCTATACCGGAGTGGTATGATGATTCTAAGATCGGTATGTTCATTAATTGGGGGGTATACACCGTCCCCTCCTGTACCAGTGAGTGGTTCTGGTGGTTCTGGAAAGGACAACCCCAACCAAATGTGGTAGAATATATGAAGAAATTTTATCCACCAAATTGGACGTATGCAGACTTTGCTAAAGAGTTCCGGGCGGAGTTTTACGATCCTAATATGTGGAAAGATGTAATTGTGTCCTCCGGGGTCAAGTAAGATTAAGAATAATATAGAAATTTAATTTTCATCTTTAAAAAGATTTTTTTTATCATGTGATTGTCAAATCATGTTACTCTTGTTTTTTTTTTTATCATTGAAAAAGGCTCCTTGCATTTGATGTTACATATGTACCTAAGTACTACCCAGACAGCATAAATTTTATCAGAAATGATTTGAAAAAAAAATATTTGCATGCTTCTACTATTGACAATCGAAGAAATTGATAATCCATGTATACTGAATGTTTCTATTTTAAGCCTCTAAAAAAAGCAAATAAAGCTGGCCCCAAGACCATAAACTGAGAACAGACTTAAGTCGAAATTCAGATTTTGAATATTTTGATTTTAAATTCAACAGTTATAACAAATATTCAAATACAAACATTCAATGAAAATTTGTTTTAATTTTCAAAAGTTATACAGAATTAAAATTTTGACTTAAGTCTGTTCTCAGTTTATGGTTTTGGGGCCTGGTGTTTCTAGCCTTTTGGTTCAGTACAATCCCTGGGTATATAGACCGTAGAGAAAGCATATCGTCCTAGCACTTTCTACCCAGTCGATGTGCTTTGTCTAGGTCTATAAATCTAGAGAATGACCTCATCAAAAGGCTATATTTGTATGATATATATTGCTTTTGAAAAAAAAAAATCTTAAAAACAAAATAAAATCTTCCCTTTATCTATCCACAGATATGTTGTCTTAGCTTCCAAACATTGCGATGGATACAGCATGTATCCGACTAATGTAACGTATCAATGGAATTCACGAGATGTTGGACCAAAGCAAGACCTTGTAGGTAAGCGGAAATACAGTTGCTTAGAAAGAAGTCAATACGAAAGGTCAATAAATACATATTTATATTTTGAGGACTGGTTATAGCAGCAAAACTCTTAAATATATATATATATTTTGATGAACACCGAACACAACGTTACTGATTTATACAGCTCATTTTCACAACAATTGTTTCTTGAGCACCAAACGACATCATTGTTTTAATGTTATACATGTATTTGCTCTTTAAACGTCAGGAATATATGAAGTCTTTTAACGAATTTTGCATTGTTGTCGTCGGCGACAATATGACCTGATCTCACTTCGTATACTTTGTCGTCCATCAGCACATATTTTCGCCAGTTGAAAAAAAAATTAACATTTACATACTGTCCTCTACAAAAATTTAGAATTTTTCAAGTTAAATTTGTATATGACAATTTTTTGTAGAGGACAATACTAGTATTGTTGCCGACAACACTGTGATGAGGGAGAATGGCGGCCGGTGCAATTAGACACGATTCATTTACATAATTATTCATTAAAAGTAGTAATAAGGATTCTCTCTCTCTCTCTCCTATACCATACTACATGTATGTAAATATTCGCAGCATTGCGTTCGCCGACATAACAATATGTGCCAATATGTAAGGTCACTTTGTTTCCCATTCTTCAGGGAAAAAAAGGGCTCATTTCGGCATATATTGTCACCGATATCAATATGTACTAATGGACGACAATATGTGCTGTGAGGATAGGTACATATTGTCGCCTGCGATAAAATTGCACTGTCACAAGTCTTCTGTAGCATCGATTTAATGCTTAGTATGTAGTATAGGGAAATATTGAATTGTTTGGGCACAAGTTCGAAGTTTGTGGTTGGTGAATTTCATTTTTACTATAATGAATGAAAAAACTGCTTCGACGTAATTCTTTAATTAATTTTGTTTTCGTTGTTCAAAAATTCATAATTATAAAACAGTCGGATATTTTCGGACTATACATATGTACAGCGGATTTTCGTATTAAATTATTTATTTACTTAACTCTTCTAAGTTAACTTTTGAACATTTGATTGGCATGCAATTTTAAGAATTATACAATGTATATGCTTCATACACCTCCATATGCGGATAATGCTTCAATTAAATATATCAAGTTTTTTCTATGTTTAGCGTCCACCCATCTTTCAAAACCTACCTACCTATTCGCAAAAAACACACAAACCAAAAAGTAAAACACAAGTCTTTATTTATTTAGTCATAAAAATGATATCATCCAAAGGATTTGATTCCATTAATCTATTTTTCTATATTTATTCTATAGAAATATCTATTCTTCAGCAAAATCAAGGTATTAAATGCTTACAATATTCCAAATATGACATATTGTATACAAATACTTAGATTAATTGACAGAATTCAGTGATTTCGACCAGAATAAACAATTTCAGGACTCCTGAATTTGTTTGTTTTTTCTGATATGGGGTGTCAAAAACCAAAGCGCACGCGGACGCTAAACATAGAAAAAACTTGGAATGGCCTAATTTCTCATACACACCCTAAAACTGATTGGATATATTCATCATTGTTTTCCTTAAGCTTAAAATGCCCTTAATTTAGCTTTACTGGTCGAAGATCTCTTCTTTCGTGACGAAAAGCAAAAATGAAATCCAGTTGATTTATAAAACAGAATTATATTTCAATGAATTCTCATTTTACTTCTTCTTAGGTCCTTTGAAGGAAGCGCTAAAAGGGACCGATGTGAAGTTCGGGATCTACCACGCCATGATAGAGTGGTTCAATCCAATATGGCTGACGGATCAAGCGAATAACTTTTCAACACAGAGATATGTCAAAGTCAGTAGAAGAATAAATACTGTATACAGGGTTATTCGCCCCATGTTATTTTCGCCCTTTTGCACTTGCAAACAATTTTGCCCCATTTTAAATTCGCCCATCACAGTTCTTTTTAAAACATTATACTGTGTTCAATGAATTCACCCTGTTTTAAATTCGCCCACCTGTGATTAGGGCAAAGGGGCGAAAATTTCCCTGTATACAGTAACTCAGCATACACAAAAACATAAATATACATGTACTTTTGCGAGTTAATTTTTATTAAATCAATTAAACTTTGTCAAAAGATAAGATTACTTCAGAAGAAACATCACATATGTACATGTATATGCGTCTTCAGAAGATTACAATTTTATCTACCAGGACTACATACATCCCCAACTGTATGAGATTATCAACACGTATCAACCGGATGTTCTATGGAATGATGCTTGCTGGTTGGCTCCGAGTTGGTACTGGAACTCAACAATATTCCTAGCATGGTTATACAACGAGAGGTTAGCAACAAAATAAATAATCTAATTAATAATCTGTTTTTATTCTTTGTTGGTTAAAAGTCAGTTCTTTCATTTTGTACATAACTATACTAGTATGCTTAATACTTCAGTTCACACACACATCTGGACGTACAATGTGAATGCAATAATTGCGTCACAGACGTTTAATGAAGATCCCCATTTTATTCCTACTACTAAAATTAAACAATCAAACAAATTTGTAAACGTTAACACTATTTTTGGAGAGAACTTTTTTTTCTGTACTTGACGTGTATTATATTTCTGAGTTGATAATTGATGGCTACAAAATTCAGTTTTATTCCTGTTAACTCATTGGAAGTATTTTTTGAATTTTAGAATCTTATCAGTATAAGACAGATAATGTAAATATGATTTTTAGCCCTGTCAAAGATAATATCGTTGTTAATGATCGATGGGGATATGACTGCTTCTGCAAACATGGAGGAATTTGGACCTGTTCAGATCGTTTTCATCCGGGTAATTTTTTAGTCTTTTGAAAAATTGCTTCCACCTACGATGTACAGTAACTCTGAGAATTTAACCAGTATCTTACTTTGCGAACAAATGCAGCACTAGGACTGTAGCTTAAAACTATAGAGCTTGGTACTTTTGTATAAAATATGATAATACTAGTTTATATATACGTATACAACTACACATTTACGTTTAAGGGTTCTTTATTATACACTGTTAAGGTCATGTGATGCCACATAAATGGGTCAATGCCATGACAGTAGACAGAGGTTCATGGGGATTCAGAAGAAATGCAGACCTGAGTCAGTATTACTCCATAGAGGAACTTTTGGAGGAAGTGATTTATACCATAAGGTGAATAAACTTTCCAACATGGAATACGCATAGTTTTGCTTCTCGTACATTTTTAATTCTAATATTCATTTGAACACGTACCATGACACAGATTCTGTATAATATATATTTTTCGTTTCCAGCTTTGGAGGAAACATACTCATTAATGTCGGACCAACATCATGGGGGACTATTTCCCCAATCTATGAAGAAAGATTCCGTCAGTTAGGGTCGTGGCTGAAGGTTAATGGAGAGGCAATCTATAAGACGACACCTTGGATTCATCAGAATGACACGGTGACAAATAGGGCATGGTAGGTTTAATATTTCTGAAGTCCTCGTAAAACATATCCCTAGTTCTACTAAGCTAATAAAATATCAAGTTGCATTTCGAATGCAAGTCATAGGTACCTACCGAAATGTATTTGAAATATTCATTGGCAATTGTGATTCTTTTTTTCAATTAAGTCAATTGTTGTAATATTATTTGAAGTAGAAAAATTAATATTCAAAATTAGAACTATGACTTTTTTTGTATAGTTGATTGTATATGTTATATAAACATATGAATATTATTTGTAAATTCCTTTAAATCTTATACCATTTTTATAAAGGTACACTGCATCTAAGGCTGACAAGAACACTATTTACTGCATGGTGTTGGATTGGCCATCGGAGAACGAGATAATTCTTGGATCCCTGAAGGACACGCCCGTTTCTAATGTAACACTGCTTGGTTCAGACGCACCGGTGAACTTTATGCAAGAATCAGAAGGACTAAAAGTTATATTTCCCACTCTAAATATACGAAAGATGCCTTGTCTGTGGGCGTGGTCTCTAAAAATTATTCTCAAACAATAGACAGGAAATGACGCAATATTTATTTTTTTTTAAATTAGCCTCACTGTGGATTGTGTGTTTGGGGGGGGGGGGGGGGGAGTATACATGTAAAAGTATGAACTAGAATACCATAATTATGACTGTAAGATATGATGGCGAATTCTGGTATAGAATTAATGTTTATGTGCAATAGATAAGAAAACTAATCAATGTGTTTTAGGTATGCCTAACAATAACTATGATCATAGACCAATATGTTTTGAAAATATTTTAATAATGAATAGATATAGGAACATTTTGCGATACCTGACAAAATGTTTTAGAGAAAAATAGGAGATTCATGTACTTCTTTTCCTTTTTAATATGTGCATGTGAAAATTTTATATTTATAACAATTAAATGAAAACAAAAAAAAAAAAGAGATAAATTGTGATTTAAATGGGAGGAGGGGGGGGGGTAAAATTCAGAGGAGAAAAGGATTTTAGCTCGGGGTGTTGCACAAAAATAATTAAATGATAAACATTTTTATTAATATATTGTAGTTGTTTATTAGAAATAAGTTTGAGTTTGTGGGGTCTCCCTAAAATTTGCCATTGAATGTGAACTTTACTTTCAGTCTGTAAAATTTACATTGGCCAGTGTATCTCTTATGAAGGGCTTAATGTAAGGTAATTTTTGCAGTCCTTGAATAGTATTTGTTTTCCATTACAAGATCGTTTAGTCACGGAGCTTTTACCTTAATATTACCTTCATTGTGTTACATTAAAGTTTTAGAATTCTGAGAATTTAAAACTAACTATAACAATCGACGCAGGTGTGGCTAAAGCGAGATCATTTGAGATTTGTCATGTTCATTTCAAAACGTTATTTTAATTTATGCACATATATACTACTTCAATTTGTCTGATACAAGACAAAATTTGGAGAATGATTCAGAGAGAGAGAGAGAGAGAGAGAGAGAGAGAGAGAGAGAGAGAGAGAGAGAGTTTAATACATCTCAATGATTCTCAGTAAATATAAGCATGTGTACGTAAAGAGTATCTTATCATATGATACAAAACGACAAGTGAGCATTCACATGTTAAAACTGCAGCCAACAGATGACATTGTATTTTAACCTTTTTTTTTTTTTTTTTTTTTTTTTTATTATTATCAACAAGGTTAATTTCCCGGGAATTTAAACATCGACCGTGCAAATCTTATAATTTGAAACCTACTTTCGATTTCATTTTTTTGTGTTTACAAATTTAAATTTATTCACCCAGTGAACCCAGAGAAGATGAATGTCCTTCTTAGGTGTCTTGTAACATTACTTACACTGTTATCCACAAGCTGTCAAAAGTATGAACCAACTTGGGAGAGCATAGACTCTCGACCGCTGCCAGAATGGTACGATGACGCCAAAATCGGGATGTTTATTCACTGGGGTGTCTTTTCTGTGCCCGCAGTCCACAGCGAATGGTTCTGGTGGTTTTGGAAGGGGCAACCTCAAAGTGATATAGTGAATTTCATGAAGAAGTATTACCCGCCGAATTTTACATACGCAGATTTTGCAAAGGAGTTCCGAGCCGAATTTTACGACCCAAATAAATGGCGCGACATAGTCCTTGCTTCTGGTGTTAAGTAAGTTGAGGTTTGAAGGCTTTAATATATAATAATAGTGTACATATGTAGCATAGAAATGAGGATCAATTAATTGAAATTTTAAAAAAACACACAATGAATGTTGCTGGACCAAGAATCGATCCCGGAACCCCTGCATTACTAATCAGCTAGGTGCTCTAATGTCCAGCTCCTCTCATTGAGAAGAACTCTATAGTCAAATTGGGTCTTTCATAAGTTGACATAAGAAGTGAGCAGTTGACTCCGCAATGCACGTGTTGCAGATTGTTAAATGTTATTGAAAGGCTTGATGTGATTGGGTGAGAGATAAAAACAATAGGGATTTGTTATTTTCCCGAAAGATGTTGCTGCTGTCAGCCTGTTAAAAGAGCAAATGAAGTGAATGAAGAGCTACATTTAAAGTTCCTTTTATTTTATTTCTAGAGGGATGTTCTTCATGAGGTCCCAGGTTTAATTTGTTATATGGCCTTTCATTCATTTTTGTTAATTCAAAACTTTTAAGACCTTGAAAATTTGACAGGAATGACAGACTACATCCATCAAAACCCTCCTTCTTAAAATATTTTGCATATACAGTAAAACACTCTAATAGCGAACATGCTTATAATGACTTTAAAATATATATATTGTTAACTTTTTTAATAATTATAAGGAATTACGCTTATAACGAAGTGCCAGGGACGGACGATTTTGCTTCGTTATAAGCGTAATTCGTAATATCCGTTCCTACGCTTATAACAAAGCAAAATTTAGTCTGTCCCTGGCACTTCGTTATAAGCGTGTTTTACTGTAGCTTATATTCATAATAAACATTTTATCAAGATAAATTAGAAATTACATGCTAGTGGTACTACATTTATTTTGTGTAAAGAATTAAACACAGTTTCCAACTTTTAATGCTCGAATTTTTTTTAAATATTCAAATTATCACATAAATAAATGCATAATTTGTCAGCCATCCAGGAGATGAAAATAGGAAGGGGCTAATTAAGTCAAAAAGGAGTCAAGAAGTTAGAAAAAATAAAACTGAATCAAAAAGACAAATATAGTTTACAAAAATGAATGAACTTGTAAAATATTTTGGCCAAAATAGTAACAATTGAACTTTACACTATAATTATAGTCGAGGAGTGCAAACTATCATGCAGGTTATCCTTTAGCTGGTCATTCAATGTAAGGGTCAATGTGAATAGAGAGGTTTTTGAGCTTTCACCGAGCAATTACGATACAGTTAATACCCTTTCCTGAAGAAAAAAATAAATGTTTAAAAAATACGTAAAAGAAACTTGCTTATCATTTGATGAAAAGAAAAAAAAATAGAAACATTTATTTCATCCTATGATAATACCGATTTAAAATGATATTGGACATTTACAGGTATGTGGTTTTAACCTCTAAACATAGCGAGGGGTTCAGCAATTATCCAACTAATGTGACGTATCAGTGGAACTCTAGAGACGTAGGTCCAAAGAGGGACCTTGTCGGTGAGTGTTTGTGGCCATCGTGTTACACAGAGTTAAAGAAGAGTAACTGGGGCAACATATTTATAATGCTAAAGCCTGGGTAATTCCATGTACTTTGTTTCTGTCAAAATCCCCATTTTCTTCACCGTTTTCTAATAATTCTGCTTTTCTTTTGTGGATTTTAAACCATGATTATATCTCTTATGAAGCTATTTAACATAAGAAAATGAAAAAAAAACTCTCCATCCCCGATTCAAACCTTTCTGACGTTTACCTTAACAATAAACTCACTTTGAATAGAGTAAGGTGTCTAAAATTTCAACATCAACAAGGTTTAATCATCATATTACATTTTTTTCTTGGACATTTTTCTTGGACATTACAGAATGCTAAGTTATCCATAAGATGAGCGAGTGAAAGTTTATTTCAAATAATGTTAATATCTATTTTACGTTCAACATATCAAATTCCTTATAAATGTTCAGTTCTTGCTAAGATATTTATACTAGAGTATGTTCTTGGTAAACATCAGGAGAATTACAGAAAGCACTAAGGGGAACAGATGTCCGATTCGGAATATATCATGCGATGATTGAGTGGTTTAATCCGATCTGGCTGGACGATCAGAGGAATAATTTAACCACCCACAGATATGTTAAGGTGGGTACTACATGTACGTGCAAATTGTTGGATAATCTGTATAGTCAGTAATTGTGATCTTGGGTAAATAAGCTGCTTGTATGATAATGTGATATTGAATAAATAAAATTCTGATTTCTTTTTTTAAAAAGACTTCAAGTTTTATTGCCTTTTATACCAATTAAAAATGATATTCTCATCACATTTAAATAACACCTACTATAAGACCAAAAAAAAAAAAATGTAAACTATAATAAATTATTTGATACAGTAGGCTATTCCTTGTTTGCAATTTTCTTCTATAAGCTAACAATGAAATATAAAGTACATAATATTTTATTTATGAACGATTATTGAAGTGATAAAGGTAAGGTACACACGTACTACAGTAAAGCATTTCTTGACCAAGTTCTTGATAAACGAGTACACTGTTCAACATAATTCCAAAGATACCGTCTTTATTTTTTCTTTATCTTTGGTATACTATTTCACAACCATAGTCAAAGGGCTTTTGAATTTCTGATTTGTTGCTGGATGATGCCATACCATCGATATGATAACAATTACAGTCTTTAAAGTATACTCTGTATTGTGAAAGAATTTTCCTTCTTTTATTAAAAACAGTGCTTTTTTCAGAAAATATCAAGTAGATCAACATGGTCTAAACCTAAGTATCTTTTAATACTGTTTAAAACACGCACACAAAAAAAATGCAGCTGTTTTTGGTTTCTCATTATTGCTTGTGGTAGAGACACCCGTAATAGTAAGACATCTGTACACCTCCTACCTCATCTGTATCACATATTCTGTACTGCCATATTGTTTATTCCACCTAATATTTCTTTACGTATTATAAGAAAACTCGGTTAGCTCCTTCTTGTGGTACAATGTGTTTAACTAATTGTTACTTGGATTTAGCTTATAGACTGAGGTAAAAATTCTTAAAATAAAAAAAGGAGTTCCTGTTTCCAATTGCAGTATTAAAGCAGGATTCTTCTTTTAGGATTACATTCATCCTCAACTCTTTGAAATAATTAACACATACAAACCTGACATCTTGTGGAATGATGCCGGTTGGCTGGCTCCAAGTTGGTATTGGAATGCTACGATATTCCTGGCCTGGTTGTACAATGAAAGGTAAAATCATTCACGAATCAGAACTAAACAGACATGTACACATACTGGTTACACATGTATTTTAAAAAAGTAAGACATTTCATCTTACAAATCATTTTTCTATGCAGTTCCAAAGTTAAGCACGATAAGATAGCTTTAATATTCTTATGCTCAATAAATCATTTATAATGGCTATGTTTATGCTCAAAAGTCTATGTCTTTTATGCACGCTAAGATTGAATCCTACGAACCAAGTAATATTACATGAAACATCTTTCATGACATACCACAACTTGATGCAACTGATATCTCTCACTGTTAAAAGGTCGGGCAAGTGAAAAAGAATATTTAAAACGATAGTAGATAAAAGGCATGCTTATTTTATAGTCCTGTCAAAGACTACATTCTCGTGAATGATCGTTGGGGATCTGATTGCTTTTGCAAACATGGTGGATTTTGGACTTGTTCTGATCGCTTCAATCCGGGTAACTGTATTTTCTTACTTTATTAATTAGCCAATATTCTAACAATATTAACATGTCTTAAAGTTTATAAACTCCATTTGGAGTTTATAAACTTCAAGACATGTTAATGTTGTTAGAATACTGCTACATGTACATGTAGTTGTACCGATGTTTGCTTTTGTTTCCTGTTCACTCGCCTTTAATCTTAGAGTCTTAAAGAACTCTAAGTCTGTGTCATGCACTATTTTTTTTTTCAAATGTAAGATATGATCATGACCAACTAGTCATCTATTTAGAAAAAAAGAATATCGTATTTGATCAAGCGTGATTAATACATAATAGATTGTTTTTTGTATTTCTCAATTTCACAATATATTTAATTTTTTTCCCCAAATCGATGATCAGGTCATGTGATGCCACATAAGTGGGTGAATGCCATGACAATAGACAAATATTCCTGGGGATACAGAAGAAATGCTGACTTATCAAATTATAACACTATAGAGGAACTGCTGGAAGAAGTCATTACTACGATAAGGTAAATTCAGTTTTAAAGGGTTTACAGTGTAAAACAGATAACTGTAAACGCTGTACATCCGTATTATATCCCGATTTGAGGTCAAAACTCAGAAAAAGGAAAGTGTACATGAATTGTAACTATTCTTATTTAGAAAAATATCATGATTTATACAAACAGCTCAAAATCGTTTTATTTTAACCTAACTTATATACTTCAAACCATGCCTGATTGCAGTTAGGCAAAAAGGGGGAAAACTGAGTACTAAGAACTTAATTATCAATCATGAAAATAGAAATTCTTATGAAATTGCAAAATTCATCATTATGATATCTTCTGTACGCCTTTGCCTAGCAATTATATAATATATATATTTTTTTTCCAAAGCGTGCATTTAATTAGTTCACAAAAGCATGTTATAGGTTAAGAAGTGGGGACCAACTTCCAAAAACATCTTACAAGCCAAAATATAAACTGTCCAAGAAGTGGGGGGCCAGCCACCCCAAAGAATCTGGCATGCAAAAAGAGGAAAACTTAACTATCCAAACTCAAAAGTCCTTTTTCTGGCGGGGGACCGTTCTCTTACTCTTTGTTACATTTTTTCTAATCCTGAATTTGACCTACAACAACAAAAAGTGGAGGGCTAACCAGCATCTAAATGAAAGTTTACTATAGCAAAATACTATACTCAGGAAAAAAATTGACCTCCCCACGGCGTTTAGGGGCCTGTTTCCATAAATTTATTTGTATTTAATCACCATGAAAAAAATTTAAGTAATTCTACTCGAAAATAAAATTTACAGTTAATTATAAAGCATCAATGAATTTTGGTTCATTTAGCTTTGGAGGAAACATACTGATCAATGCTGGACCAACAGCTTGGGGGACCTTTGATCCAATTTTTGAGGAACGTTTTCGACAACTTGGGTCATGGCTAAAGGTGAATGGACAAGCAATTTATAAAACGACACCTTGGATACACCAGAATGACACATTGTCAAATAGAGCATGGTAAGATTTTCTAGTTTCTTATACTAGTATAGATTTTTAAATAAAGGTTTCGTTTTTTATGCCATTTACGATCAACTGACTCCTAAAATTGAGGAAAAAAGTTTTTTAACATAATTCTATATGTGAATTTCAAAATACAAAGTACGAGGGCTGTTAGAAAAGTTCGCGGACATGTTCCATTGTGAGCGCACTATTTCCACGAAACCGGTTAAACTCTCCAGATAAAAACTTTACCTATTTTCCAGTAAATATACAAAGGTTTGATGTTTTCCGGTAATCCTTAAAAAATATACAGCTATATTATTTTGATAAAACATGCTTCACGGAGCATGCTACTTTTTCTTACGTTTACATTGCATAGACTTTTTATTGAAATTAAAAATTGCACAGTTGTAGCACAGAAAGGATTATGATATTTTACCTGTCGCTACAGTATTCATCAAACGTCACTTGCCGAAATTTTGAATTAAATTGGAGGATGTATGACAGTTTTATAGCCATTTATAAATAATCAACGCGTAAAAACAAAGCCAAGAATGGGAACGTCATGGAGCACCGAGCTACTAAAAAAGTATGTGTGCAGACAGGAAAATGTCTAAAAATAGACTAAAATGCTTCTAGATGCTGCTGTAAATTCTCTACACGTACAAAGGACAAAAGTATTCAAATGGTAGCTAGTTTTATAAAAATGGAAGGATTAAAATTTTTAATGATCAACTCCATCGATACCTCAATACCCCACTTATCGCATGGACGTTGCGCCTATGGATTTTGCATTGTTTCCATACCTGATCGCTTAACTGCGTATACATTCTCTAATATATAGCCGAAACAGCACAAAAGACATTATAGAAAAAAAGTAACATGTCTTGATATAGAATTTTTAATTTTTTAGAAGAAAAAGACAAGAAAAGTCGAAAGAAATGAAAGATATTTAGAACTTTTAAAAGCTTAATGGGTTTGAAATCTGGTTGTCACGTCACTTAACGTCAAGTGATTGCTCCATGAATCCTATGATCGCATTGTAAAATCGTTGTAAATTTTCAAATTTTAGTAAATGGACCTGATTTTTATATACTATTAAACAGAAGATAGTAATTTAATCAGACATAGGTCATACCTCATAGTATACACAATAGATTTTCCGTAAATCAATGTGTCCGCGAACTTTTCTAACAACCCTCGTACATGAATGTTTATCTAATATTGGATATATTTTTACAAAGATTCATTATCTTGAGTTTTATTTCATTAGAATTACGATTCTTGTTTATGCAAGTGTTTTAAGAGAAAATAATCACTGAGACGTTTAATTTCACAAACACATTGCTGTCATCATGTTTATTTGTACATAGGTACACAGCATCGAAATCAGAAAAGAAAATGATTTATTGCATGATACTCGATTGGCCAGAAAACAATGAAATACTTCTTGGATCGCTGAAAGGTTTTGAAGTCTCCACAGTTACTATGCTTGGCACTGACGCGGATGTTTATTTTGTCCAGGAGTCACAAGGACTCAGGGTGTTATTTCCCTTGGTAAATGTTCGTAAAATGCCTTGTCTCTGGGCTTGGGCTTTAAAGATCACATTGAAATGAGTGTTGCTTTGTCCAATTTAGTCCCAAACTTAGGGAAAATATGGACGTTGTATTAAACATTATAATAACAGAAAATTGGGACATAAAGAATGAGAACTTCATTTCTAATATTTCTTATTTATAACCTTCAAACATGTAATGAGTTGTGCAATTGTAAAAAAAAAAAAGCCTTGTAAAAAAAATCTTGTCCATAATATATTGTATATTTTTTGCAAATAAGGATTTTTATATTTGATACACCGTAAGTAATACCAAGATAAATTTTGTGGTCTTTTCAATATTTTTTCCATGGTTACGTTTTTTGATTTCTGTTTAAATGAAGAATTCCAAAACAAAGTGCCATGTTGTCTTTCATGATATATCATTGATTTTTTTTTTTAAATTTTGTACTGCAATGTTATTTTCTATATTTTTTAATATAATCTCTGCATGATTTTCTGATCATATCTTAGTTTTAGCAATCTAGCTATGCTGTCATTCGCAATTTTGTGTGGTTAGAGTATTCTTAATCATGGTGCTAATTTAAGGACATACGCAACGTACCTTACCTATTGATAATTTTTCAAGATATTCTTGATTTAAGATTATAGTGCCATCAGATGTTCGTCGACAAAAAATCAGCATGTATTACCAGGGGTTTTGAAAAGATATCAATTGATGAAAATTCTTGTATAATTCAAAGAAAAATACACAAAAATTACTAAACACATATTCTAGATGTTTTGTTTATCCAAACTTGTTTTAGAAGAAGTGTACAACAGCATATATAGACATACAAATGTAGCACACAATTCCTTTAAGTATTGGAACTCTTCAACTCCAGGGAAAAAGACAATAAAGTTCAAACTACGTTACGTATGTCCTTAAACGCTTACCTCAAGGTAGTCACAAGGCTTATATGCTTACTTATATATATATTTGATATTGTAAAGTTTAAAATATTTCTAATATTCTAAGATTTATAAAAATTTGTGACATCATGAACATTAGAAATTCATATTTCGTGTATGTGATCAATATATAGGACTCACGGCGGGTGTGATCAGTTGACAGGGGATTCTTTACCCCTCTTAGGCACCTGATCCCACCAGTACCTCTGAAATTGCCTGGGGTCTGTGCTTTATGCCCTGTCCACAGATTTGTATTGTTTGTAGATTTTTTTTTTTTGAGATCTATCACTGTTCGTTATCTAAACTTTTTTCATTGAGATATACATTATGAAATACATTGGCTATTGTAATAAGATTTGTTTCAATTGATAAACTGCCTTTTTTAGAATATGCAGAGTGTTTTTTTTCTTTTTTTCATTGTTTTGATTTTAAGCTTATCTTAAAATGACACTAAAATAGACTTTGTATAAGTCACAAAATAACTCTTCGTATATTTCATGGAGATTTATGTTTTTTGTTTGTTTGTTTGTTTTGTTGTTGTTGTTGTTGTTTTTAAACTTCATTACCACATAGAAACCCTACCAATTTGTTGTGTGAAGACAAAAAAACTTTATATAGCATTTTTTATACATCAATTTAACTTTAGAAACAGCTTTTGTATTATATAATTTTCTTTATAAAGAATCAAATGGCTTGAAAGTGTCTACTTTTCTGCTTACGTTGTAACAGAAATACTATAATTAATATTGATTACTTCAATTACATGTATCTCAATGTGCAAGAAAACCAGTTTTTTTTCTCTAATAAAGTGCCATATATGTATTAGTTTTATGGTAGTTACTTGATCTTAATAGAAATGAAGATATCGAATTGATCATTCCTTTGCTACAAATTAGTGCAATTATTTAAAGTTCATTGACCTTCTAACATAAGAAATAAGTTCATATAACCCTAACTGAGATTATTAATGAATTAAACTACTTTAAAAATGTCAACTAAAAATGCAAATTCTGTCAAATGTTATGGTTTTATGAAATCGTTCACATTTGAATTTCTTTTGGAAAATCATTATCATATGCCAAATTTGTGTGAACAATGGGGTTATAAACTTAGCTTAAAACTAACCTGAAACAGAATAAAATGATTTTTCTGAACCATTGATAATTTATAATAAATTCAGAAAAGATTTGACTTATATTTAAATATATCAAAATAGAAATCTACGTGAACTTTGACATAATTATCCTGGCGTGATAATTAAGATCCATTCTTGTTATTTGATGTGTGTTCCTTTGAACAGAATGACAAACTCAAAAAAATCATTCAAAGTGATAAGGTCTGTATTAAAGCAAAATGCATATATATCAGTAGGAAAAAAATGGAAGACAAATGCCCATTTTTTTTTTATCATTTTCATAGTCAATTATGATGATTATTTAAAATTATCACAGATACCATGGAAAAGGAAAATATTAATTAAAACCAGCTTTGTTACATCCAAACCATAGCAACACCTAGGCAAGAGACCAACATTGTTTACAGGAATTTGATCAGATTTGTACTTTGAATAGGATACGCATACTTTTCTATGACACAAAAATGCAGATGACCAAGTCACACTTATTCATTCAAACGTTTGCATTTTCAAGGATTTGAACAGATCCAAACCTTTTATATGAACCATTTTAACCAATAATAACAGTCAGCAGAACAATCACAAAAGAAATGTATTAAACTTTTTTATGCTTTATCAAATAGAATATTCTTTTCAAATTAACTCCTAATAATAAAATTATAATTTCAGGAATTTTTTTTACATTATATAAAATTCACTCTTTATGCTTGATATTGCTGTTAACAGCACTAACATGCAATGGGGAACTCCAGGTAGGTACAAAAATTTCTTTTTCATTAACTAATGAACTTTGTGAATCTAATTCTGTTGCACCAACAATTATTTCTTTCATTTTCCTGGTCAAGGACCTTTCATGTGGGAAATTATTTTGAATCCATTCTACTGCATTAGCAAAAGGTTCATTTGTATTTGATAAAATGTCATCAACTAATCCAATTTTCCGACATTCTTCTGCCTTTAACACCTTTCCAGAACAAAGAACTTTGATCGCTTCTGACCTGCCAATTATTTTTGTCAATCTTGTGCCTCCTCCAAACCCTGTGACCACACCCATTTTAAGCTGGACAAATCCTATTCTAGCACCTTCTGTGACAAGTCTAAAATCACAAGCTGTACAGAGTTCTGCCCCACCCCCTACAGCCATACCACAAATCAAAGCCACACTTATTAAAGGTAAGTTTTTCAACTTTGTCAGTGTTCCTTGCATGTGTGTGCACATTGTGTGACCACTTTCTCTGTTTAGATTATTTCGGACAAATTCTAGATCCCCTCCTGTACAAAAGTCATGGCCTTTTCCAGTTACTATCACAGCTTTACCAGTGTCCCATTTCTCTAGTCTCTTAACTATCTCTTCCAACTGAACCATCATAGATCCTAAAAAGCACAAGAATATCCTGCTTATGAAAAACTTAAATTATAAACATGATTAAATTTAAATCGGGGATAGAAAGTTGGTCACACTGAGTGCTAATTTTAATAATCTTTGATGAGCAATTGTACAACAGTAAATCACTTAGGCAGATTGTAATTGCTAAAATGAACTTGCTGTCTAATGCATTTAATCAATTAAAAAAAAACAGTTTCAAAATCTGAGTCAGTAAACAAGATGTACCCGACAGAGCATTTTTCTTCCCTGGATTATCCAATGTAACCACAGCAATGCCTGAGGTGTCATTCTGCTGCAACATCACCTGTCCACTACCAGTGAAAATCGTAGATCCACCACTGTAGGATCTTGTGCAAAATGCAGGCCTTGACCAAACGCACAGCTGTCTTAAGGTTTTTAATAGCATGTTATCTGTGTCAAATGAAAGTTTAAAACCAAAACATGCTGCAAGATAAATAAATATGATCATCCCCCCTCTCTAAAATAAGATTCCAAAAACAACATGAGAAATATTGTACATGTGAATATTGAATCAGTGAATAATATGAATGATATGTCCACATCTGGACAGTAAGATGCAGCATTTAAGGATGGATTCTTCTCATATTTCTTATAATGGCAGAATCTTGATTTTCTGAATACTCAATATTCAGACTGTTTACACTCTTTTAACATCCAAAAACTTTGGTGTCATCGGCCTTGATTTTCAGTCAAGGTCATTTGAAAGTCAGTCCTAAAAATAGTACTTTTACACAGAGAAGTTTTGAAATTTATGCATATGAATAAATTTTGCTGACTGAAAAAATATCTTTCACAATAAAATTAAAGTTGTTACTTATTTTTGATGACTAATTCATATGAAATGAGCTGGTGAAAAGATAACATGAAATCCTTTATATTCAATAAATATATTTAATCCGAATTTCCTCGATATTTTTTCAAAATTCTCAGTTTTTATGAATTCACATGAAATTTCATCTCAATTTTTACAATTGACCATATAATGTCAAATATTTAGATTTTTGTCTGATGAATATTCAAAGGTTCAAGATTAATTTACAAGGTAAAAAAGATATAGTAATCAGGCAAATTATCGAGAAAAAAAAATTAGCCCGAATTTGCTCTATACTTTCTGAAATCTTCATTTTACAGAGTGTTTCAAATGCCTATAAAAAAAGATTTTTAATCCCCAAAAACATATCAATTTGGTGTAATTGTGACATAAATACATTCATTTCTCCCAGTTATACATTCTATTTTTATGGTATTTTACACTAATGATATTCAAAATATTCATTTCGAATTTCCTCTGTAATTTTATTCTTATGAATGTTATGTTTGACAATTTTATAAAATACATCAATTTTCTAGTGGCAATTACAGAAAAATTATCACATACATTCTTCACATGCACAGGACTAATTCAAAGCAACTTAACCTTTAATATAACCAGGAATAAATAATAAACCTTCCAAAAAGTTATGAGAAAAATCATACATAAAATTTTCATAGACTAGAAAAGATTTCAATACATTATTTATGACATAAACATGAAATCAATATACATGTATAGTGAACATGCCATTCAAAGCTTAATATATGAATATCAGAGGGACTAATATATATGCCTATACATGTATATGTAGTTATATACATATAGGTCCCTGGTATTATGTTATTATTGGATATTTTACATTTGTAAACTGAGTTTTGAAAACAACAAGCAAATTCAAAGAATTGTGGTCCCCCGCTTTCGATGTCTTAGTGGATGGGATGCCAATGCCATTATTTATGGCATATTTTAACTGTCTTGTTTGTTTGTCCTGTCTTATCTGTGCATCATACAAAAAACATAAATTATTGAATTAATAACAGTTATGGCAAAGACTATAGCTTCTCAAAACTACATCAAACTTCAAGATCAAGGTCATGAGGTCAAATATCATAATAAAATCCAAAAGATCTTCTCACAAGTGATGCACATGTAAAAAAAAATATCAGAAACCAGAGTATACAATCAGAAAGGTCTTGAAAGAGGTAATGCACATGTCAAATGTAAATACCATCTCTTCTCTCAATCAAATGTTATTAGCAATGATAAACTTTTTAAAAATTAGGTCAAACTTCAAGGTCAAGGGATTTAAAATCATAGTACATTTGGAAATGCTTGTCACAGGTAATGCACTTGTCAAATATGAATGCCCTATCTTTGCTCCTTCAAAAGTTAGCAAACTGATGAAATGTTTGAAAATTAGGTCAAACTGGAAGGTCAAGGTCACGGGGTCAAATATCATAGCATATTCAGAAACATTTTGACACAGGTAATGCACTTGTCAAATATGAACACCCTATCATATGTCATTCAAAAGTAATCACCAAATATAAAATTTTTGAAATTTAGGTCAAACATGAAGGTCAAGGTAAAGGGGTCAAAAATTATAGCATGCTTGGAAACACTTTGTCACTACTAATGCACATATTAAATATGAAAGCCCTAACTATTCTAAATCAAAAGTTATAAGCAAAGATAAAAATTTTGAAAAGTAGGTCAAACTTCAAGGTAATGGTCATTGGGTCAAAAATCATAGTACACTTGGAAAGGTATTCTTACAGGTAATGTTCATATTTAAGTACCAGTCCATATAAAAATCATGCAAAAGGTGATTCACTCAAGTTCTCAGAATTCAATGATTTTCCACACATAGATTTCTCTTGCACTATGATCCATGTATGCAAAATGAAAAATGTTTTGGATCATGGTTACTATGGAAACCTGGTCAAAGTAATTTCCTTAGCAACCAGCCAATTTTTCCATGTGAGGGGGCAAAAAATCACTTATCTTTAAGGCCTGAAATTATATACAAAAACTTTGACAATTATTCTTATTTACTGGTAAGATAAAGACACACACTTTAGGTGTTTAAACAACACAAGAAATTGATATTTTGTTTAAAGCTAGTACTGTGGTAGACATTAGAATATATACATGTTTTTGCATTTTTGCTGACTCAGCATTTTCATTGATTTTGACAATATTCAAGGTCAATTCAAAATTAATACCAAGCTAATACAGCTGTTGCATGACTTTCATGTTAAAGTAGAGGACTTTCTCTTTTAGAGATTGACTTCGAAAGCGCGGGTTTTTTTTAAAATCCTATCCGTTGCCTAGCAACAATATTGGATGTTTTGGAAAATAAAAAGCTAAAATTGGTAGTGTTGTAACAATTATCTTATAGAATAAATAATTTTTTTTGTCCAAAAATCAAATTTTCAAGTAATAGGATATAACTATTATTTCTAAAGAAATGCATTGATAAGGAATAATTAATTATCTCCATGGCAACAGCAAATTTCCCATAGCAACAAGGCTGATATTCAGAATTGAAAAGAAAATGTAAGAAATTGTATAAATGACCTTGCGAAAAATAACATTTTTATGTATGAAAAATAAAGATCATTCTGCAAATAAAACATAATGAAAATTTTACTTTGGGTCTGCTAATTAAAAAGAACATGGGGAAGTTTTCCATATTGCTACATTTATCACAGAAGTGAGCAATGTTAACACTGTTGTTGTCTTGAAGAATACTGATTTCATCAAGAAAATGAGAAAGTATTTGAGGATTCAGTAGAATAATTAAAAGTATGAAATATATTCTTTATTTTAAACATTTCTTGAATCATTCATATAACACCTGGTATTATTATCCCCCTTGGTAGAACTCTTTGGTAAAGGAAATACATTTTAGTGTATTCAGTAAACAATGGAAGCAGACAACACTCTCTGTTCAGATCAAACTTGTAGTTTTTCGAATTTTCACAGGCATATTTGTGGACCATCTATATATTATCCATCAGAAAGCAGCCTCAGCCCCATATCTAACTGTTTAAAAGATATTTCAAGTCATTTAAGGTCTTTAAATTTATGTAACTCTCACATTCCAACTGAAGGGCATTTACTATGTTTCCGAGTGGGCATATTTTCCTACAAGTCGGCAGAACATTTTTCTATATGTCCCAAGTTGCGTGCAGAGTTGGGAGTTATGTGGAAAAAAGGGCATACGTGTGCATACCCAGATCATATTGGCAAGGCGAAACCTGAGAGACCGATAACTCCCTTGATGTCACATTTCATACTGGCCCGCAAAGGGGTCATGGTGCCAGTTGGATCAGGTTAGTAATGTTATTTCACTTACTCACTATCAATCTTTATAGATCACAAGATGAATATGAATCATATCCTGTGCTTGAATTCTCCTGAGCTGAACAGGTATAAACTGTTTATGATACAGTTCAGTATTTTTTCACTTAATATCACATAATGCAGTGTAATGCAATCCTCATAAAAGAAAGTTCCATCTTTCATGTCATATGTTGCCATGGCCAAAAAATCCTATCTTGGTCTTTCACTAAATCTGAAATAATTAGAGGGTCTCTTCTGGCTATATGGTTTCAAAAATCCTGCTTATCTGTATTCAAAATAAATCCACATGATCCAAGGACTTCTTTAATTACTCAGCATTTTTAACACACTTTGAACTATATCACATTTTGTAAAAACAGAAATCTTGAGATGCTTATCCAGATCTGGTCTTTCTTTTTGCACCTTTTAATTTTTTTTACTTTTGCCGGACCTTAACAGCTGCTCAGTGTCCTGATATTAAAAGTGTAGGCTGTAGCATGTAGCTGACCAAGTTATCTAATCCACATTTTGAATTTCACATTTTCTTGCCTCGTCTGATTCTCTTTCTTTCACTGAAATAAAGTTAATGGTACAACGTCATTCGAGTTAATTCTAGACGTACAACATAACAACAATTCGACAATATATCAATATAAAAAACAACAGAGAAAATTCGACCACAGAGTTAAATACGCATTAACAAAAATAAGTAGAAATCTTGTTACTCTGTTATTCTAATGGAACTAGTTCAAAAATTTCATATAATGACCTTTTAAGCTACTGAAACATACCTAAGTGCCCAATATTTGGACAATTAATTCACCTTGCCATTAGGGCTGGGACAATATATCGAGATATCGATAATATCGATTCAATGTGAGGATGATACGCATATCGATACATATGAAGAAATATCGACATATCGCCCAAAAAATTCTGACTAATGTTTTTCTTTGTTTACTTAACATTTTGGGTTTAATATGTAAAATAAATATGCTTAATATAAATCTAAATATGAAATACATAATAATTAAGACCACTTGTGCAAAATAATTAAGTTTTACAACAGATATACAACTTCTTTGAATAAATTATTCTTATATGTGAAGAAATGTTTTGTTCACTTCAATATAAGAAAAGGATTTATAACCAATTAAACATATCGTGATACATATCGTATCGTGGCTCAAATATCGGGATACATATCGATATAGAAAAAGTTGTAT